CAGTGCAAAGGGCAGGCCAACTAAACAGCTGCTGAGGTTGCCAATTTATAAGGGTGGTAAAATATCACAGAAATAAGTCAGAAATACTGTGGCAGTTAACTTAGATCTCCTTTTCTCCGGGGAAAGTAAATGGGTCTCACTTTTATTCCATGTAGGTAACACATTTCTTGTTATGAATTTGAACATGTGACAGAAAAACAATATTTGTTATTTCTAATATTCTTCTGCCTTCTTCAAAAGGCTGATCCTGGTAACCAGAAACGTTTTTGCTTGCTAAGCAAGAGCTCTGTAACATCTGTCTAACAGCCTTTACCTCCCTACTCCTCCCTTGATGCCTGAAAGATGAGCAGGACAGACCCTCCTCCCCCATTCCAATCTTATTCATGGATCATCTTAGATCAGAGTCCCTAGAAGCAGAACCTGAGAAGGGGATTCTTGTGGCAATGATTTATTGAGGAAGTGCTCTCAGCAGAAAGGCAGCAGGTTGGGGTGTCAGGGGAAGCTAAGCAAGGATGTGGTCTCGAATGGTTTTAGCTTCAGTTTGATTTCACCTATGGGGAGCTCTGGCGTATAAATTTCACTACAGAGCTGGTCCTGCCTAGAGGGAAGGGAGCCAAGTTTTTGTATCCCTGAATCAGTCACTCAATGACTGCTGGCTGCCAGTGGTGGGATGGGGGTGAGAATCTGACATCCTGCGCTAAGGGTAGTTCCTGGTGGCTGAGAGCAGCACTTCAGAGAAAGAGGCAGCTGTGAGCCATTAGCAGCCAACCCTGACAGCAGCTGGGGGATGGTTCAACCTAGGTCAAAGGGATCTTGATGGGGCACCACCAGCATGTACTACCTGTATGTTTTTAGGTTTCTGTTAATTCCTCTGGATATCAGTGTCCACCCCTGCCATAGGTATGAACGCTCCTCTCTGTCCCCTGGCCTTACAGAACCATAGTTCTGAACCAGCCATCTTCCCATTCCCCACTCAGCCTAGGAGTCAAATCAAGCAGCTATATTTTTAGGATTCCAGAAAGCTACATTGTTCAATGCAGAGGGGCATTGAATACATGAATTATGCCTCTTTATTGAACATATTTCTATCTTAGGAACATTATTGTTATTTTCCAGTTTTTTTCTTTTGTGAAATGAAGGGATACACTGGATTATTTTTAGACCTCATTCCAGTTTTAAAATTCATTTGCCTAATGATTTTGCTCCAGAAAGCAGTTGTTGTGCTCACATTTTCTCTGAGGATGAGTTTCATAAAACACTCATTAGAAACTAAGTCTAGTGTCATTCACATAAGTCAGAAACTAAGAAGATTTGGAAAAGTTTTAGCACATGTCAGGGAATTCAATTCCATTTGATCTGACCTTTTTTCCTTTTATGGATAATTGATATTAATTTTCCTGGATAATTATTAGGGAAGAAGTTTTTCCTTTTTATTTTTATTGCAATAGATTTGGGGTTATAAATGGTTTTTGTTACATGGATGAAATGTATAGTGGTGTCTGAACTTTTAATGTACCTACCACCTGAATAGTGTACATTGTACCCAATAGGTAATTTTTCATTGCTCACCCCCTCCCAACTCCCTTCTGAATCTCCAATGTCCTTTATACCACTCTTTATGATCATGCATACTCATAACTTAGCTCCAACTTATAAGTGAGAACATGTGGTATTTGGTTTTTCATTCCTGAGATACTTAAGATAATGGCCTCCAGTTCCATCCAAGTTGCTGCAAAAGACATTACTTCATTCTTTTTAAGGCCAAGTAGTATTCCATGATATATACATATACCACATTTTCTTTATCCATTCATCAGTTGATGGGCACTTAGGTTGATTCCATATCTTTGCGATTGTGAATTGTGCTGCAATAAACATTTGGGTGCAGGTGTCTTTTTTTTATAATGACTTCCTTTCCTTTGGGTAGATATTCAGTAGTGGGATTGCTAGATCAAATGGTAGGTTTATTTTTATTTCTTTGAGGAATCTCCATACTGTTTTTTATAGAGGTTATACTAATTTACATCCCCACTGTGTATAAGCATTCCCTTTTCACAGCATTCATGCCAACATCTATTGTTTTTTGACTTTTTAATAATGGCCATTCTGGCAAGGGTATGGTAGTATCTCATTTGGGTTTTAATTAGAATTTTAGGGAATAATTTTTTTACATATTAAAAAGCTTCAGAGTTGATTTTGTAATCCCTGTTTCAACAATTGGTATCATATATTTTCTATACAAAATGGACAAACACTATCATTTTCATTGTGGGATCTTAAGGAACCTAACAGAAACTGAGGTAAGACATCAGAACCATCACTGCATTGTCTCTATGTATCTCATTGCCCTCAAGTACAGGTGATATTGAAAAAAAATCCCTGATGTAAATTGTTGATGGCAGGGCCTTCCCTATCAGATATTGGTCCTTTGTGTGACTTAAAACAAAGCACTTATCTGGGCTTATGAAATACTGAAAAGTGTCCCCTCTGAGTAGGCAACTAACAAAAAAGGGATCCCTGCCTCCTGGCTAGAAGGCCTGTAAGAAGACATAGACTTGGTAAATGAAATGCAGACTAGGCCTCAACCTTTGCTCAGGTCTTTCACCTGAGACCTTTGCACAGGGCACAACTTGCATATCGATATGTGATGTTCCTGGTCATAGTAGTCTCATCATTGTGACTTGACTGGCTTTCCATTATTCAATATGACCCTTATATTTGTCAAAAGACACCAATCTTACAAAATTGCTGAGTAGCACCATGTCTCACGATGTGCCTCAACCTGATGAGAGCTTTCAAGACAAAAAGGCTCAAAAAGAATGTGTTCTGGATACCCTGTCCAAGTGCAGTCTTCACTCATCACATGAGAAGACTTGCCCTGGAACTTTGGCACTGGACTAAGGGGCCCCTGCCATTTTAACTGAGGTTCTAGGGTCACTTGAGTTAGGAGATCTAAGGTGTATTGCCATACTGATTCCCTGTGCAGATCTTTCTAGCTAGAGACTTTACAAGAGTCAACTCCTTAGCACAATATACATTAGCATTAGAAATATCTGACATTTAATGATTTTTCTATAGTACCTGAAAACTTATCACTGAAAAAAAACCCCTGATGATTCTTCTCTGACATTGATATCACTGCAGTGTAATCACTTCCAGTTGCTATTCCCAATGTTACAGTGGAGAAAGCCTAGAAGAAAAGAACTCTTTGGATAGTTATATTAATTAATAGGATTTATTATGCACACCAAGGACCCAAAGGTCATTGCTAGAATTTTTATTAATCTTTGGAGTTGCAGTAGTTACATAGGAAAAGGAATAAAGGATGAAAGGGGAAGAAGAAAGAGAAGATGAAAATAGCTTTGCAAAACTTAAGGCCAAATTTTCTTCCCCTGTTTTCTTTTTTCCTGATAATATAAATAATGTCTTCTTAAGATGAAAAGTTAAGAAAGCAAATAAATTCCTACAGGATTGTGTTGAGAAGGAGATTAAATTGCATATACATAAAAGAAAGCTTTGGGGCTTTTTGAGGAAAAAGTGACTACATTTTGGCAAGAAAATGATTCCAAGTTCTTTCCAATTGGAAGAAGAATACTATACCATTCATTTGGTTCAAAGAATAACCAGAAATGAGATGATGGCTCATTCCTATGGGGGACCATTTGGTAAGTGGAAGGATACTCCTTTCATGTAGGCAGTTTGAGGGCGAGCCTCCTCATTCCCATGACACCTGGTTAAATCATTCCTATACTCTCTGCTGAAAGAAGATATTCCACTAAATCCCACTCTCTTTCTTAAGTACTTCCACTAAATTACCATAGACATGAAAGTCACCTTTGACATTTACTGGAAAAGTTGACTTTCTTTTTGTAACATCATGAGCCTTTCCCCCCCCTCCAAAATATGTTTTGTTGCCTCTTCATTGCAAATCTAATTTGTAATTCATGTCTTGCTTACTCATTTAAGTAATAGATGCCTGCTGAAGAATATCAGTCAACCAGCCTGGAAACATTCTTCTAATAGTAGAGGTAGAATAATGTAAAGGAAATTACTGTATTTTGTCCTCTGTAAAATGTGTAATTTTTTTAAAAATGTTTCACTTATGTTGTTTAACACTTTAACTAAAAAATTTCAAATTATATCATAATAATTAAACAATACAAATATTGGTCACCTGCAAGAGAAATCTAGCTTTAATTACATCATAATAATTAAATAATGCAAATTTTAATTATCCAGAAGAAAAATTAGAGGAAAAAGACTAGCTAAAATGTGGCAAATAGTAGATATATGGAAATATCCAGTGTGTAGTGTGAGTAGATGCATGATAAGAACAGAGGTGAAAAAATTAAATTGCTCCTGGTGGAGAATTTGAACCTAAGAAAATGCCACTCTAGGCATCCATGGTTTTACCACTTGCTAACAAAGATTTCTTTTGGCTTGTAACATTAAGTGTTCAGTACAGAGAAGTACATGCTCTTGAAGGACCCCCCACACACACACACACAAATGATGGGAAAAGACTCCAGAGTTTGGGCACAGTACTAGCTCTTTTTTCATAATTTCATGATTTGCCTCTATAAGTGAATGTCTATCTACCTCCCTGGCCTGAAGATTGTACCACATCTGCAATATGGATCATTTGGCTCTCTCATTGGTCCTGGGGGACATGAACACAGCCCACAGATCTACCAGCAGCTGACTGCCTGGTAAATGTTTACTTGTAAATTAGCGTGGGTGATAATTTATTAAAGTAATAAGCATAGATTACATTTAATGGTTTAGACATTATGCATTATGAACACAGTATTTTATATTTAGTTGAAGCAAATGTATATGATAATTAATATGATACTCAAATGTAACTCAGAAATTGTAAATTAGAGAGAGAGTTTTAACTAAGTCAAGCAATGTATTACGGTGCACATCAGCACTTACATTAATTTAAGGCTTCAGGAAGGTTTCACCATGGCAAAGCAATATCATACAATTCACCCATATCATGTGTTAGGGATTTATTTATTTCTTAGATTCTCTTCTTCTTCCCCCATAAACTGACTCATTCTGTTACTGTAGAACATTGTTTCTTTCTTGACAAGCATCCTAGCATCAAAATTTAGGCTTCTGGAGCTGAGGTGAGTAATCTGTCAGCAGGGACACCATGACAGCCTGGAGTGACACAACAAAGAAAGAAAGAAATGGATAAACATTAGCAACAGTCTGCCTAGGGACCTAGAGAAGGGGAACTAAGTTTCAGCTTTATAGGCCTACAGTTAAAATGTGTTTTCCCAAGGAAATGATAAGGGAACCATTCTGAACTAATATTTATTTATTTATTGGATAAAGGAAGCTCAAGAGGAATCAGATGGACCCCAATACGTGCACAAACACTGTGCTTACTTAGGTTTCTGACTAGTGGGTCAGAGTGTTGAATGAAGTGCTACGGTGGTAGCCATGATTGGATTTTCTAGTCATTAGTAAAACTAGGCATTGGCTGGTTTTAGAGAAATATAATCCTGCCCATTCCAGTTCCTTGTGTTTACACTGTGGTTAGGTCACTTGCAACATAGAGAAGTTTAGGGATAAATCAAATGTGAAATAATAAAAGTAAATTATTTGGGTTAACAAATAATGTCTATCTGAATCTGGGTCTTCCTGAAAGATCATTAACTTCATAGCTAAGAGTATAGCTTGCCCTTGGGCTGTCAGCCACAAATGGTAATTTTTATGTTTATTCTTCTCAAGCTCTACAATAGTGACAATAATAATAGTATCAGAAACAACAATGGTGAATGTTTACCAAATGCTTACTAAGTACCAGACAATATACCAAGTACCTTAACATGTTTCAGTCAGTCAAGAAATACTTGTCAAGTACTATGCCAGGTGCTTTGGTGAGCTAGAGAAAAATGTTCATGCATTATCTCATTTAAAGCAATGAACTACTAAGGTAGCTTCTGTTATTATCACTTATAGATGAGAAAAATCAATCCTTGAGATGATAGTGCAGAACTGGGTTGGATCCCAGGTTTTTCTGACTCCACTTTTCTTAAAAAATTATTACTAATATTATTTTGGATTGATAAATTATAATTATATACATTTGTGGGGTACACATGATGGTTTGATATATGTATACAATGTAGAATGATTAATTAATGTATCTACCACCTTGCTTACCTATCTTTTTAAAGATACACTTGACATTTATTCTCCTAGTTATTTTGAAATATACATTATTATTGACTATAGTTACTCTCCTGTGCAATAAGTCATTCCTTTGATTTATCCGAAAGTTTGTACCCTTTCATCAACAACTCCCCATCACCACCCTCCCCACCCCAACTCCCAGCCTCTGGTAATCATCATTCTACTCTCTACTTCTATAAATTCAACTATTTAGAGTCCACATGTAAGTGAGGTCATGTAGTATTTTTCTTTCTGTGTCTGGCTTGTTTCACTTAGCATAATATCCACCAAAAAACTGTTAGAACTGATAAAGGAATTCAGTAAAATTGCAAAATACAAAATCAACATACAAAAATCAGTAGTGTTTCTGTATACTAATAATGAACTATGTGAAAAGGAAATTAAGAAAACAATCACACTTACGATAGCAACAAAAACAATTACCAACGTATAATTCTATCCAAGAACAACCACCAGGAAAAAAAACCAAAAAAACATTTTAAGCTTTTTAAAAATGGGTTCCTGGGACCACATCTCAGGTTTTTGTTTGTTTTTAATGGTCATTGGATGGGTCGAGCTTATTTTCAAGTAAAAAACTTAGAAAGTCAACTTGGGAGTAAGGTTGTCATGTTTAGTTAAATAAATAAATACAGACAAATAGTTAAATAGGAATTTCAGATAAACAAACTTTTTTTTTTAACTGTGTGTTCCAAATACAAGTATGCATGAGACATACTTGTACTAAAAAAATATTAATTATTTATCTAAAATTCAAATTTAACTGAGTGTCCTATATTTTATCTGGTAAACCTAACTTGGAGAGAAGTAAAAGACTATAAAATTTCATGAATTACATTTGCAATGGTGTTATATACTTAAGGGTCATCTGGATAGCAGTGCTTTGAAGTGTCAGCTTTTTTGCAGGTTCCCTTTAGGTTACTTTAGTTTCACAGTAAATTGTAGGCAGCGGAAGAAACCTACCTGACTTTTTTGTGAGTTCTGCTGTCTTACTAATCATTGAAAAATAGAAAAGCAAGCTTTGTGGGGAGGAAAGGGTGGTTTTTGTTTTTGTTTTTAAACAAAGGGATCCAAAGGCCTGTGCACTATGAAGAGAATGATGTGATTACTGGAGTGTTTTGAACAGTATTGCTGGAAATTACCCAGCATGGACCCTTTATAAAGCTACTCTGAGTGCTGAAGGAGTACACTTTTGCTTTAAAAATGTTACAGGCTTTAAGAATAAGCCCTTCTTCCTCTTTTAGTTAAATACCTTACATCAGTTGTTATTAGCAGCTCAGAGCTGGGAGCCAGATTGTGTCTTTCCTTCTTCCATCTTGATTTTAAGTGAAGCTGTGTGTGTGGAAATCATTCTCTGGAGTACTGCTGTCTAATAGCATTTTCTGCAATGATGGAAATGTTCAATGTCTGTGCCGCCCAATACAAATAGCGTAGCCACCAGTCATGTGTGGCTATTGAGCATTTAAAATGTGGTTAGTAAGACTGAGGAATTGAATCTTCAATTTTGTTAAATTGTAATTAGTTTAGATTTAAATTGAAATAGCCACATATGCCTAGTGGCTACTGTATTGGACAGGGCAGTTCTAGAATAAGAAAAGTATTGTGCCTTTAGAGCATCCTAGAAAAATTTATCACAGCAGTGCGGAGTCTAAAGGCCATTCCAAATAAGCTAAGAATAATTTCTTTGCCTATTAAATAGGAATGTAGTGTGGATAATCTGTACAATCTTATTCCACTTGAAAATGTTATGCTTCTATGAATTGACTGCACATTCTTCTTCTTCTTCTTTTTTTTTTTTTTTCAGTCTGCAGTGCCTGGTAGAGGACAGAGAGTAGATGCTCATTGTATGGCCACTGAAATGAACTGAACCCAAAGGGACTTCCAAATTGTCTAGTTCAGAGATATAAAGAGTACAACAAGTATATTATCACTTCCTTTCCAATATCCACGTGAGGCACACTTATCAATTATGCTACTCTTTCTGTCTGTCCCACACCACAAGCAGGCCCAGAAGCCTTCTTGACAGAAGACTCTGAGTAACCTGTTGATGACATTAGGGACCTTGGATTAAAACTCATTTGCCATCACTATGGCTTGATCTGCTTATTTTATAGGTGAGGAAACTGGGACCTAGAGTAATAATATTTATCCAAGATGACACAGCTGATTAGTATTAAAGCCAGTTACAGAAGTCAAATCTCCTCACTCCCAGTGGAGAATCTTCCTATCTTAGACTCTCTACTTTCACTTTAACATGCTTCTTCCTCTTGATTTCCTTAAAATATATTTTCCCTTAATAATGGTGGGTACCTCAGGGGGATTGGGAATGGGGAGATGGAGACCTAGATGGATGGAAAATGGGTGGATGTAAGATTTCAACCATGTGAATACATTATGTATTTCATTTCTAAAATAAATTGAATTTAAAGATTTTTTAAATAAGCTCTTTAAAATTCCAGAAGTGCAGAGCACCTCAATAATTGATGCTTTAGAAAGCTTTCTTTTAGTTTTTCCCTCTGGATTTGTACAAAGGACTTACTTTAATGGATTTTCTTAATTTACTTTGTAACTTTCCTAGTCTTCTGATGAAAAATAGAGCTCAAGGAAAATGTTTTGGTGAGATACTTTCTGAGTTATATGGCTGAAGAACTCACTTTTTTTTTTTTTTGTCACCTAGATCTTTGCTACTCAAAATGTAGTCTGCAGGACAATGGCACTTGCATTACCTGGGTGCTTGTTAGAAGTGCCAAATCTTACCCTCCATCTTAGACCTACAGAATCAAAATCTACACTTTAACTAAATCCCTAGGTAATTCAAATGCACATTAAAGCTTCGGAAGCACTGGTCTAGATGACATGGTAACTGCCATCTTGGCCAAAGTTAGTGTCCTGAGTTGGCAAGCTGGAAAGATACAGTAAAAAAGCAACCTTGTTATTAGATATGACGAATTTAGGTCTGATTGCAATCTTCCATTGAAAAGGGAGTCATGATTGGCTTCCAAGCAGCCAGTCATACTGGAGCTTGAACTCCTGCTGGTCACTCGCTGTATCAGATCAACAATGAAGATGAACAATAATGAGGATAATAATTATGATAATAATATTTACCATGTATTAGGCACCATACTAAAAGCTTTACATGTATTATTTTAATGTTCACAATAATCCTATTCCCATTTACAGGTTAGATAAATAATTAGCAGATAGTCCTTTCCAGCTTGCTTTTCTATGCTACAGAGGCTAAAAGCTTAAAATTACATTTCTAAGACTCTTGCAGCCAGAGTGCATGGATGCCCCTCGGCTTCATCTACTCCATACTTAAATGCATAAGTGAATAACATGCAGTGGAAGTCATCTTTTAAAAGTTTGGATCTTCTGCTCCATATGCAGGTGAAGATACCTGTTTCAGCTGGGGTAGCTATAATGGAGTATCTGGTGTCTAGTTTCAAGGGCGTTAGGTACCAGACTGTGGGTGGCTGTGTCACTGTCAGAGATGTTCTGGGTACAAAATAACCACAGTGTTGCTGAGCAATTTTCCTGCCTGTGTTGTCTCTGGCTATGTGGTGTCCAAGAATGATTTGCTGTACCCCCTTTCCCAAGAGATTCTGGAAGTTCCTTAACATTTTTTTTTTTATTACAGCCTATAGTACACGGTATTCTGAGGCAGTCTCCCATTCAAGTACTAACCAGGCCGACCCTGCTCAACTTCTGAGATCAGATGAGATCAGGCACGTTCAGGGTGGTATGGCCATAGACAATACCTTTCAATAAATTCCTTTCCATTTATCGACCTAGAGTTGATCCTGCTGTTTGCAAGTAAGACCCTGGCTGGTACAGCAATTGAAACCAGTTAAATCACTAAAAGCTAAAACATGGTGGAGCTGTTATGACATGTGAGTACTATATTCAGTTTTCCAGAGAAGGTAACATTTGGGATATTATAAAGTAGATGCAAGGTTAATATTTCCCAGAATGACAGTGATGAAGATGAAATTAGCAGCTTTATCTGAAAGGTATCAATAATTTTTTAAGATAAGTTTTGCCATGGAGTTTGGAAATGTTCTATACCTAAATACAGATGTATCTCTATGGCCAAACTCAAATAGAGAACTAAAACAACTATCCAGTTAAGTTGTGAAGAAAGGAATGAAAGGAGGAAAGAGAGGAGGAAGGAAATAAGATTTTTTGAATGTCTATTTTGTACCAGGCACTGAATTAGGAGCTTCTATAAACATGAACAAAGAGATTCTAAAGTAAGAATTATACAACTTACATTGCTTGGCAGAAAATGGTGGCTGATGCTCATCAGGCTGATCAAGGGCAGTAAGAATTTTGATTAAAATAAATTTATTTGGAAGTGGATCAATTTTACTCCATTAAAATACACTATAAATGCTAATGAGCAATAATGATCTAATATGAAATTTCTGGAAAAAAAATAGATGCCATATGAGCATGTAATGTAGTTGGATAATCTCAGTTGCTTATTATTTACCAAAAAGCATAAATGACTAAGTTGGCACCACACAAAGAACTCCTTATCCTCTATTCCTTGCTTCTTGCTTACCATGATCGTCCACTTTCTGTTTTCTGCCTCTGGGAACACTAGTGATCGTGGGGAATAAAAGACTTCATCATCCACTTCTTCTGGCTTTCTGGGCAAGCAGTGTAGAAATGTCCAGTCAGAGGCAGCGACTTTAGCAGTCTAAAGAGATGAGGATAAGACCATGATTTGACTATTATATGTGGCAGTCATATTTATCTTCTTCAGTATTTAAAAATACATATGGCCTGGGGTCAGAGATCAACAGAAAAGGAGAGACAAATGGGCAGAAAGAATGTTTTATCTCAAGACACCCTGGGAGAAATGTATATAGTACTTTCAACTTAGGAAATTTTATAGTCTTTTCTCGATTTGGGAGATCATCACTGCAAGTTCAACCAAAAACTCAGTTTTCTGGGATTCTGTTTTGTGGGATAATGGGCATTTCAGAAAAGAACTCTACTGGTGTAATATGTGGCTCAGAGTAAAAGTCACTAATTTTACCCTACTATATAAAAAAAGTTGCTTTTATGTGATCATATTATATTTTGAGCTTGTCTCCAAATTATGATTTTTAATACTTGAAGCATACTTTGCAACTAGTTAAAACAATTTGAATAAAAGCACTGAGGTAGGAGTGAATAAAACATGATTATAAGCACTATGCACTAGATGTTGCATTCTTAATGCAAATGTACTAGCAATTTTCAGTTTCTCCAGCACTTAATTCCTGAAAGTCACATTTCCCCATCCATTTCCATTGTTCACTTACAGATTCAAAACTACAGTTCCTCATACATTCTTACCTCAAAATTACTGCCTTTGTACTAAAATTTTGTTTTACCTCCCACCCTAGCTCTAGGTTCAGAACATTCTGAATTTCTAAAATACTAGCAAAATGACATAGAAAAAAGAGTAACATTTATACCTGTCATATATCAGTGAAATAAATGACTGTTCTTCAAGCCTACAGTCCCAGCACCAGAAAAACTCCTAAGATTGGTTATGTATGAGATAAACCATGTAGTTTAAAATGTCTCCATGAAAATATTTACTACATATATGACAAGGGGTTAGCCATAATAAATAAAGAACCCCCATAACCAATAATAAAAAGGGCACAAAAGTAGAAAATGAGCAAAAGATATGATAGCAATTTATAGAAAAAGAAATGAAAATGATCAATAAACATGAAAAGATGCTTAACTTCATTAGTCATCAGTAAAATGCCAATTTTAAAAGGCAGTGAGATATCATTTTTCCTTCAGATTTATAAAAATTAAAAATGTAAATAACTGAAAATGGAGAGTATATGGAGAAAGAACTATAATATACATCTGTGGGAATGTAGATTGTTAATCCTTTTTGGGTGGGCAATTTAGCAGCTTCTCTCATATTTTAAAAAGTATATACCATTTCGCCAAGAAATTCTTCTAGGGATCTATTCTCCAATAATATTTGCACAAGGAAACACATATAGGGGTGTTAAGTGTAGCATTGTTTATAATTGGAATTTTTGGAAATAGCCTAATTTATCAATAGGAAACATTTTCTGTCAATTTCATACTTTGAAATTCCATGCAGCCACTAAAACAAATAAAAAATAGCTAAATGAATGGACAAGAAAATCTAAGATTTTTAAGTGGAAAAATTAAGTCAGAATAATATGTCTAAAATACCATCTATAAAAAAATCAATAGCTGTATGTTTATATAGGCATATATATGTAAATGCATAGAAAATGTCTGCAAAGAGCCACATCAAATAACAGTGGCTATTTCTGGGACTAGTCACTGTTAAGGGGATGGGGGAAAGACATTTTCACTTTTTATGTTTCAAACTTTTGTCCTATTTGACATGCAATAATAAAGAACCTGTATTTATGTATTACTTTATCAATAAATATTAATTGTACTTGTTTAATTCCTTTCTCCTCTGAGGCAGATTAATTGCTCTGTTGCAAAACCCCAGTGTGCACCTGACTTATTCTTTCAGAACAGGCTTTCTCAAAGTGTGGCCCTGGGACAACACCACTGCCACTGCATCACCTGAGAACTTGTTAGAAATGCAAATGATCAAATGATGGGGTCTCGCCCCTGACCTACTGAATCAGAAACCCTGGGGCTGGCTGCCCCCCACCCCAAGCTGTGTAGTAACAACTCTTCTAGGTGATTGTAATGCATGCTCAGGAATGAGAAGCACTGCTCTAGATCTTATGATTAATAGAAGGCATCAGAGTGAATGAGAGTACCCTGGGAATGTCCTGGAGGGAGTTAGCAAAACCAACAGGATTTAGGGGTCCTTAAAAAACAGGGGCAAGGAGTAGCCTGGCGAGCATAGTTATGGGGCTTTTCTTAGGGGAGAAATAAGAAGAAACTGCATGTATCAGAGGTAACCTAATGTCTCTAAACAGAGCAAAGCATTCCAATGCCTCTATTGCTATGAGAGGAAAAAGTCTGCTTCTCTCTTCTGCCTGGGTTTCAAATTCCTTCATCCAGCACAAAAGTGTCTTTCTAAAGGACACAGCTAATCTTTGGGAGGAGAGAAATTCCTGAGGGATATAGTCAGTCCTTTACAGGGAATGAAAGGACAGTCTGCTCTCCCCAAAGTGAATGAGTGATTAGATGGTTCTGGCCTTTATGAATGGAATTAATGAACCTTCAGAGAGGCATCAATTTGTACCTTCATTGTAACCTGGTAACCTTGGAAAGCCTGGAGCCGCTTTTTCTTCTCCTCTTCTTGTCCCATGCTTATCCAAGTGTCTGTAATTAATACATTGCCTCCACGCGCAGCTTCCAATGGATCATTCGTCAGCGACAGCTTGGTACCATTCTAGCATACATAAGCATGCCGGTTAAACAACTTCATGGGACAGACAAAGGCAATTATAGTTTTACATATAAGGAGCATACCTCCTTGGCATACTGCTCTGCCAACTTGGTTATATTAGGATCCGGCTCATAGCCCTGCAGGAGGAAGAATTTAATGGTTATTTAGATAATTATATATGTTTTTTATATATGCATTATTTTCTTTCCTAGAATATTCCCTTCACCTTCCATTTTTTAAGATGTAGCACAACAATGTTTAGTAGGACATGATTTTTACATTTGGAATTTGAAACCTTAATAGTACCTTTTAGAATTTAAAAAGGTAACCGATTGCCCCATCTTTCTGTTATTATTTCTTTCCTCTTTAGTCATAAAGGTAAACAATGCGCATGGTGCTTTCTGGCTCTTGGTAGCACCGCTGCTGCTGCTGCTTCTTGTTTCCCTAATAGCTTAAGAGGATTATGTACATAATTGTGCAATCTAATGCATTTTTGTCTGAGTCTTTCCACGTGCTGTTCTTTTTTGTCTGAAATGCTTTTCCTCACCTGCTCCATGTGGATAACCCTTTCAGGTCTCAGTTCAAATGTCCCCTCCTCAGTAAAACCTTTCCTGACCACCCCAGCTAAATGCCAACAGCCCCCCACCCAACACACACAATCTTATTCTTTCCCATTCTCCAGCAAGTATTCTGAGTGCAGGGTGCTTGCTTTGAAAACGTATTTACATAACAACAACACTGTTTTCGCTAAGATTATGTATTTTTTCCTGATGGTTTGGTGAAGGCAGACTGGACTCAGACACAGGTGAGCAAAACCAGGCGCCTAGGGTACAAAATTTAAGGAGGCACTAGTAAAAATTTAAGGAGGCACTCATTCTCAAGGTCATGCAAACACACAGTTTGCATCCTCAGTGTCTCATTTGCTCACTCTAGTCCCAACTCTGGGTGAAGAGAAATTATGGGGGCAGCTAAAGCCCCTCCCCAAGTTATTTCATGCCCCCACAGGCAGCCTCCCACCTCTATCCCCACCCTCCAATCTGTTCTGTACATAGCAATGAGAATTGTTTTCTCTGAAGCCTTGGATATTTACTCCTTGTTTCTTAAGTCAAAGCTGATTAAGAGCATCAAGGCTCCCCACCTCCATCCCCTGCTTCTGTCTCTTTTAATTCTTCTCAACATTTTGCTGCAGGAAAGCCAATCTTATTGTCATCCCTGTACAAATCTTGCCCTTTTCTGCCATCACAGCCTTTCGCCCTTGAACACCTCCCCCTCTGTCCTCTCCTGGGCATCTTCATCACAGTTGTCAGCTCCTCAAAACTCTAGCCCAGCCTCACCTCCAAGACCCTCCATATGGAAGTCTTGTCAGTTCAAACACCATAATTATCCTCACCTTCCTCCATCCTTCTCATTTTCCAGAATTCTTAGCATTTATTATGAATTGATTTTTATAAATTTTCATTATGGCATTGTGGTGAATACTGCGATATGGCCCCCCAGATCCCTCTTCATGAATAATCATGAATAATGGACTTACTCCCCCAGCTGCTGGGAGTGCTGCCAGAAGATGGCCTTCAGCTGTCAGCCCCCTTTGGGCACTGCCTCAGCTGCAGAGAGCAGCCATGTCCAAGGTCACACACCCTTCCTGGGCGACCCACATTCAATGACTGATTGACAGGAGGGTATGGAAACTTGACCCCTTTCACCCAATTCCAGGTAGCCAAAAGGCCATCTCACATCCAGAACTCTCCATAAGATCAGCCAAGGCTTTTGTTGGGGCTGCATCGCAGCTAGGCTTCTCTCCCTGCCCACTCCTGCTTCCTTCCCTTCCTTTCCACAGTTGTTAATTTCAAGGACATGCTCTCATAAGCATCCTGCATGTCCTGTACGCTAAACTCTCAGTTTCTGCTTCTTGGAAAACCCAACCTGTGAGAGGCATGTCCAGGTTTATTCATTTGAAATTGTATTTATTTGCACATGATTTTCTACCATAGTTCCTTCTTCCAATAGAAAATTCTTGAAAAAACAAACTATCCAGATGTTGATGAGGATGACTGCAGACATTGCAGTAGCTTTACCACCCTCAAATAGCCATGAATTCCAGAGCATTATTTATAGGGGTCTGGGGAAAGTTATTGATAAAGACTTGCTAATTTAGCAACTAATGTTGTTAACAGTCATACTGATAAACATAAATGAAGAGATTTGAATATTACCCATGTGCTTCCTACCCTGAAATTTTAGCCTTCCCTTTGGAGAGCAGGTTTTATACTCCCTAAGTATAATTCTTAGTAAAGGAATCAATAAGTACTTAGAGACCCAACAGAGAGGTTTGGAAATTAGAAAATCACCCAACCTTGCACGCATTGGGCCATGACTTAGAATACAGAGAGGAATTCTTTACTCACATCTCAGCCATCTCAGCTTTCAATACTAAATCACTCACTAGCCTTTACATAAATCTTAAAAGCAGACAAAGAACATAATTAACAAACCCAGTTCAGTCTAAATATTCACTTAGAACAATGTTAAAATCATTACTACCGGTAGTTTATGGAGCAATTTTACAATCGTGGAAAAATATTTTTTTCTTGAAAAAATGTAAGTTATTCTTGGTTGAAGAATGAGAAAATAATTATGGCCTTGGGAATTTTTCAGTGTTTTTTAAATTTACAATAAGTCTCCTGGCTTTATCTTTAAAGGAAATAGGTCTACCACCAACTAAAAACTTGTAAATTGATGGAATGACTTTTACACTATCAGACTTTCCAGAAGAATTTTTAAAACTCTTACTCCCACCAAGATTTATCCAGGGTTTAGTACTCTTTATCATTCAAATGAGTTGCTGCATAAGAACAATACTGAAATTACTCTGTAATATTGGAATTTTTTCCTTTGATGTTAATGAAACATCTTTGACAGGCAATAAAACGTTTAAACCATATATTTCTTCAACAGAATAAAGCCTTTCCAAAATAACCTTATAGCAGGGAACAATTATTGTTAATGTATGTTTTATCTGCAAAAACCAAATGCGATAAGTTTGCCTTCATACAGAGCCTTTCTTCAAACTAGATTTGTAACGACAGTGTACTTACCCTTCCCAGAAAGTGAATAAAAGCCACCTTAAGCACATGTCAGTTCTGACCCCTATTTCAGTTCATGCTGAATAAAAGAGGAGAATTATCTGTTGTAAGGGTCATCTCTCTGAGTCCTTTAAATTTACTATGATAGGATGGCTTCCAGTACATGCTGTTGCATATCCCTGCCATTTCTCTATGGCAGGTACACTTGGTTGAATAGTGTCCTCCAAAAATTCATGCCCACCCAGGACCTCAGAATATGACCTTATTTGGAAATAGAGTCTTTGCAGATGTAATTGGTTATGATGAGGTCTTACTGGATTAAGATGGACCCGAATTTAATATAACTGGTGTCCCTATTAGAGGGACATTTGTAGAGAGAAACACAGACACAGAGGGAAGATGATGGAGGCAGAGATTGGAATGATGCAGACAAGAAACCGCTGGGGGTACCAGAAAGCCGGAAGAGACAAGGAAGGATCCTGGCCTAGAGGCTTTTGAGAGGGCGTGGTCCTGCCAGCACCATGATTGCTGGCCACTAGTCTCCCAAACTGTGAAAGAATAAATTTCTGTTGTTTTAACCCCACCCCTCCCCCAGTTTGTGGTAATTTACTATGGCAGTTCTACAAAAGTAAGATAGCAGGATGCATTGACCCAAACTGGTTTGGTAAGAACACTAAGAAAAAACATTTGGTGTTTTATTTCATTTTAGCAGGATGTAGCAGATGATGCTGGTGTTCTTCCGAGATGCCCTCAGAGGATCTCTTTTTATGGCTTTTGCTCCCTCCCCCAACTTCAGTGTGTTTTTAACATTTAGCTCTTGCAGCCCTTCTTCAAAAGATAGCCCTTCGGCTTCCAGGTCGCTTTTGTCATAAAAAATGCCAGGGTATTTACCACTCTACCTTGCCTGCTGCCCTTGACCAATGACTGGTTCAGAAGAATGAAAACCCAGTTTCCTCACCCTAGTTTGGGACAACTCTGGGGCATAACTTAAACTCCAGAGCTCACCTATGGGATCAGGCTGAAGCTACTTTCCTTTGGACTGTGCCTGACATGGCACTAGGGTGACCAAATCATCCTGGTTTGCCTGAGACTCTCTCAATTTTAGCACTAAAAGCCCTATGATCCTGGAAATCTCGAAGTCCCTGGCAAATCAGGATGGTTAATCATTGTAAGTGGCACCCTTGCTTCGATTTTTCCCTTTCCCTGTCCTGCTCCTCCTAGTCCCCCACAGGTCTCCCTTAGGAGGGCTTCCTTATTTATTAAATCACCTGTATACAAATCCCCATTGAGGGTCTGCTTGTGGAGAAACCTGGCATAAGACACCAGAGATAGTGGCGGGGAAGGATGAAAAGTGCATAGGAGACTTAAGGATTTGGGCATTTCGTGTTAGAGAAATTAAGCTATTAATTCACATTGTATAACTCAGGTTCCCAGTGGCTGGCAAATAAACATCTCAAACTCAAGAAACAAAGGGAGGGAGGAAGTTTTTGTTTGCTTGTTTCAGAGATGGGGTCTCACTATGGACTTGAATTCCTGGGCTCAAGAGATCCTCCAGGCTTCAGCCTCCCAAGTAGCTGGAACTACAGGTGTGTGCCACCATACTTAGCTACAAGGAGGCATTTTTAAGCCTCATATGTTCACCTCCTGATGCCTTAGCTTCTCAGAGTAAACAACAACAGTGACTACTGAGATAACAGCAAACACATGCTTGGTCAGAAACATATTGGTGCAGAATATTTGTGAATAGTTGTCTCTTAATGACGGGGTCAATTCTATCTTTTACTACAAATCAAATATTGTTTCTGAAACGGTTTCTATTTGGGGAAATTTTCCCTTTAAAGGACTCCTGATGGGACATTAGTAGCCAATGAAAAACATAATGGGGGAAAGAATTCAATAGACATAGGGTGTTTATTAATTTTTTTTAAAGGGCTAAGACTTGGGAAGAGAGAGGATATTTAAAAGGTTCTATTGATATCTTTTATAGGTGGTTTGTGTTTGAGTTTCTTGTAAGGTTAATTTTTATCCTCTAAAAGGCCTATTTATTGTTTATGGGGCTGAGAGTATTTTAACACAGGGCCTCTCTAAGGAGGATATACATGTTTTTATATTAGCATATTTACTTATGCATTTATATTATACAGGTAAAAATATTTGCATGTTAAGAAATTCAAGCCATATAAAAGGATAGACAGTCATGCTCCACAGAACATTTCTTTTTTTTATTTATTTCAGGAAATTATGGGGGTACAAACATTTTGGTTATATTTTATGTCTTTACCTCACCCAAGTGAGGGTTAGAGGAATGCCCTTTCCCCCTCTACAATGCTCACTGCATCCATTAGTTGTGAGTTTACCCACCTCCAATCCCCTAATCCCTGGAGAATATTACTACCCTGTGAGCACCATAGTGTTGATCAGTCAGGGCCAATTTGATGGCAAGTGCATGTGGAGCCTATTCTTCCCTTCTTGTGATACCTCACTTTGGAGGATGGGCTCCAATTCTATCCAGGAAAATATAAGAGGTGCTACATTCTTATACACCAACAACAGTCAAGCCGAAATTCAAATAAAAAACACAGTACCTTTTATAATAGCCTCAAAGAAAATCAAATATCTAGTATATATTTAATGAAAGAGGTAAGAGACATATACAAGGAGAACTATGAAACACTCAGAAAAGAAATCATAGAATATATAAACAGATGGAAAAATCTACCTTGCTCATGGATTGGTAGAATCAACATTATTAAAATGTCAATACTACCTAAAGTGATCTACAGAGTTAATGCAATCCCTATCAAAGTCCATCATCATTCTTTACAGATCTAGAAAAAATAATTCTACATATAACATTTCGGTCAATGACAGATCACGTATACAATGGTGGTCTCAAAATTATAATGGAGCATGTATAGAAACCTGATATATGGCACTTTATGTTGGCATTGCAGATAAAGTAGCAGAAATGATTGATATTCAGTAATGGTGCTTGGACATTTGGTTTTCCATATAAAAATATATATATAAGCAAATAAATATATACTATCTGGGTTTTTGTAAGTATACTCTATGATGTTCACATGATTGATTGGAACATATTCACATTGTTAAGTGACACATGATTGTAAAGTGAAAATAAAGTCTCCCTCTTACCTCTATCCTTGAACCTCCCAGTTCCCCTCCTCAGAGGCAACATCTACTACCAGTTTCAGTTTTTTGTGCATCAAAAGGGTTACATTGGGCCTGTGAAAGAAATCATGCCTTCCCATACATTCTGTGAGAGATTAGCAACAAGTTAGGCACTATGCAGGGGTCATCCTCATAGCCATGTGGGACTCAGATTTTAAAAGCCAAAGGGCCCCTGAACTTGAGTTTTGAAACATTATGCTGGTATAGATGCCATCACTGTGACCTTTATATCAGATTGACATTTTTCCACCAAATTGCAGTATTAGAAAAATGACAGCATTGTTCCCATGCAGTGGGAATTCTATGCTGTCTGGATTTCATTGCTTTCTTTTTGTGGTGGTAATGCACAAGATGCCAGCCATCATAATGGCCGGTATCAGGGCATTCAAAGGGATGATGATTCAGACACGCTTTTAACACAGACTCTCAGAATGAAAGGCATCAGACAAGACTATGTCTTATTGTAGAGATGGAAAATTGGGCTCTTAAGAGGCCAGTTAGCTATTTAATAGTAGGGCTGAGAACATAACCTAAATTTTGTGGCCTAACCTGTGCTCTCCCTGAGTGGAAGAGAGCTTTGTTTTCACTGGTTAATGGCATCTGGAGAAGACTTAAGAGGGGGTTAATTTCAAGGCAGAAAGTTTCCCTACCTTTGGAGTAGCCGCCTGAAGGTGCATCCCAAATTTCGCTGCACTCATCATGATGGAATGCAGGATGTTGTTCCCATCCCCTATCCAGCTGAGGGTAAGACCTTTCAGAGAACCATAGTGTTCCTAAAAGGCAAGGGATGAAGGAGATTAAATCTGAGAGGAAATCCATTTATTTGCAACAATTAGTAGTGTTAAAAATACAATAAATAGTCTTCATCTCAATTTTAGTGGCTTGGAATGAATAAACTACTATTTTTTTTTTGCATTATACAGAACAATTCAATAACATAGATGTACAATCACAAAAAAATAGCAAAATGTCCTAATATCTTAAACCAAGACATCATATGAACTCATATAGAGACCAAGATTTTCATACATTTCAAATCTGAACCTTAGTTGTATTCATTCATTCAGCAAATGAGCACCATCAATGTCCAGACACTGTCCTTGAGCCTGGAGATATAACAATGAACAAAGGAGACAAAAATCACTGCCTTTATGGAGCATACATCTTCTGGTATAAGAAAAGGAAAATACAATGTAACAGTGTAGCATGGTGGTTCTGAGCATGTTCCCATTTATATAAAGTTGAAAAACATGCCCAATAATGCTGTCGGTTGTTTATGGATATAGATGTGTGCAATTAAAGTATAAACACATGCCTTGGAATTATAAACACGAACATCAGGATAATAACTTCTTTGTGGAGTGGGAGGAAATGGGGTCAGGCAGAGTTACATGGTGGCGCTTCAACTCTATCTGAAATGTTTTATTTAAAAACATTACATTCTAAAGTAATTACTCCATCACATTACGATTTGATCAAACTGTGTAATGTGGGTATATAGGTGTTTGTTTTATTTTTCTTGCAGTGTCTGTGTGTTTCATATATTTTATATATTTATAAAGATAAAAAAAGTGAAAGGCTAAGCAATTTGGAGATCACGGAACTAGTAGGGGGCTAAGCTAGGATTTAATTTCAGTTCCATCTGATTTAGATTCCATGCTCTCAAGAAGCTTCTATTTGTTCATTCAGCCCTTACTTTGAGTATCTCCTATATGAAGGCATTGCATGAGGTCCTGCACGGGACACTATGATGAATCAGACAGCTCTTTGTCTCTCGTTGAATTTATAATCTAGTAATGATAAAGCCCCAGGAGGAAGCATTAAATTATCTGGTGTATATGTAAAGCCACACCTGCAGACAGCCACTTGGTATCTGATATCGTATCATCTTCTCTGCATGGATCTTATTCCAGACACAGAAATCATGGCTATTAGGATTTCAAGTGGCAACATCATGTAGATTGGCAGTGGCAAACAAAATGAGATGAATCTCTCAAAGTTATTCAAGTTCCTAATTTGGGGGTACTCGACTGGCTAAATTTGAGCCTCAATCTATATGTTTTGCACATTCTCAGTTTCTTAAAATGGTAGAAAGTGGCCCCGTTTTCCAAAGTGGTTTAGTAATTGACCATTTTGAATATTTAAAACACACTCCACTAGTCTTCACTCCCAAATCACAGACTCTGATGTATGCAGGATCACATAAGGGTTATCCATTTTGTATGCACCCGTGTTCCTATTCATCCATTGTGTTAAATATTACACCAAAAAGCAAAGTGATTAATAGAGCAAAAGGTGAGAGAGGGGTTAAAAGGATTTGAGAACAGGGTTGAAAGCAGAAGGATCTTATAGTATGTTTTTAACAATGCCCTGTTTTCTCCAGATATGTAGAATGCACACATAAGCTATAATTCTTTGTCAAGATGATATTTGAAAATAAAATACCAATACCATAATTTAAGGAAATGATTCTATTTAAAGCTAATCAGGAATTATTTGCTGATTTTGCTCTTTTGTAAGGCAAAGAAATAAACCAACCTGGAGCGTGAGGTAATCAGCCAGGATCTGGATAGGGTGGTACAAATCTGACAGCCCATTGACAATTGGAATGGAAGCTTCCTTAGCCAGGATGTCCAGATCTGATTGCTTATACACACGAGCCAATACTGCATCTGTCATGCTAGACAATACACTGTGGCAAACCAAGAAAATATAATCCAAGTTAATTATGCTCAATAACTCCTTGTTTAATACAAGATTCTAAACAGCAACAAGAAATGCTAATCATACAATTTTTACTAAGTAACAACTACCTATCAACATGACAGATTTAAAAGCTAATATTATACATGTTGTATCACATAAGCCAGATGTTGTACCTCTCATGTCTTACCCAGCAACCAGTGATTTTAGATTTTTATGAAAATAAGAAATCAACTGTGAACCCAGCAGACATGATGATGCATTATAATTGATAAATGGCAGTTGGTTAAGTTAAAAGGGACAAGACCAACAGTAAGATATATAGAAAAATATTAATGACCTGCCATGTGGCTAATTTTCTTTCACATTATCCCACAGAAAAATATACATTTTCACTTTAAAATTGAAAAGTGCCAGTGTAGCAGCCATGGAAGTACACACACAGATCACTCTACAGAGAGAACCTGCTGGGAGAAGTGCCTTTGGTAATTCAGGACCCTCTGCAGCATTCCTGCTAACACCACCCTCTCCCCAGGCTGTTCCCCATCCAATGACAGAGCATGGTGGGGGGATAGGGGACTAGAGCTGGGCCATTTCTGCCTGACAGGGGACTTCTCTAATGGGCAGTCTGCACTCTGGGCTCCCCATCAGCCTGGTCCAGACTTCCCTAGAGCTGTGCTGCCATCTGAGGCTCTCCCTACCCACCTCTCCTTCCTTCCCCTCTCCTTCCACAGGGGTCAGCCCTGCCTCCCAATGTAAAGGCTCTTCCTACCTCCTTCTTCTCCATCCCTCAGGTGTTTCCCTCAAAAACATCTCTTGAGTATCTAATTCTGTCTTGGAATCTGCTTCTTAGTGGACCTGATTTGACACAGCCAGCAATGAACTCTAGTGCTTACAAAATCCAAGGGCCACTCAAAAGACTCATTGCCCCCTGGAATTAGAGGCTCAAAGATTGAAAACCATATTCCTATAACAATATTTTCTAGACTTTCAGATTTTTTTCAAATTTTCATGGATTTCTTATACCCATGGTTCTTGGATTTTCAGCTTTAATGAATCAGCAAAATTTCCCAAAACATACAGAGATCAACATAAGATTCCCAACTGTGTTTAGCAAATTAAGGGCATGAGAAACAAGCAAATAAGCAAGTATAATATATCATAGCCCTCATTAATAAAAAAGAACATTTTTAACACCAAAAAAGTATGAAGGGCAGAATTTCAAAGAATAATCCTTGTAATGAAGTAATTGAGCTTTATAAAATTCACTATATTATTCTTATTTTTCTTATTTCACCTCTTCTGATGAAAACTTCTCCATGGCAAGTTTAGTGGGAAGGATCAGAATTTATAAACCACTATTTTTAGCTATCTAAGCACATTGTATATCATAGCATTAAAGAGATGGATAGAAAAGCTATTTACAGTTTCTCTTACAAAACAGGTGATGTCAGTTGACTTCTGGTAGTGGGCTAAGAACAAGGGGTTTTCAAATTTTGCTGCACATTAAAGTCACTTGGAGAATTTTTAAAATTCTTGATGCCTTGAGGCAATATTCTCTATAAATTAAGTCAGAAAAATCAGAAAATGTAGGGACGGGATCTAGGGATCAGTATTTTTTTTATTATTATTTCTTAGGCAATTCCACTGTGCAACCAAGGTTGAAAACCAAAGCTAGCACCTTGCTCCTCAGATCAACAACATCAGCATCACCTAGGAGCTTATTAGAACTGCAGAATCTCAGGCCCCATTCAGATTTACTAAAGCAGAGTCTGCATTTTAAAAGGTTTCTAGGTGATTTTTGTTTGCACATTAAAATTTGAGACTGAAAATAAAGAGGGTATTGAGGCCCCATATTTTTTAAAGTACCATGCATTCTTTTTTTAGAATCATAATCAGACAAAAAAAAAAATCAAGAGTAGGCAAAGCTTCGGAATGGTAACTCATAAAAACAGAGGACTTTGTCCATAATATCCTTTGCAGGGAGTGCTTTCTAGTTCAATAGAAAGAAAAAGGCATCTTAAGTCCTCAAAGAAAAGAATAACTCATTACCTTCCATTAATGCCATTCTCCTTAGAGTAAACAGCTACTTGACCTATCTGATACCCTAAGGCAATGGTTCCCAGACTAAGTGAAGAACTAAGAAACTATACAGAGGCCTAGGCTCTGGAAATAAAGTAGGCCCTAGGCCTTTGTATTGCTACCAAGTTCCTCCAGTGATTTATATAACCTTCCAAAGTTCAAGAACCACTGTCTTGAAGCATAGATTGCTAAGCTGAAAGAATTTTAAATATGTTCCCCCTTTCTTCAAGATTTCATTGCAAATACCCTTTCCAGTACAAACTAATGTTTCATACTATAAGAATTCAGGCTTCTAACTCTATCATGGGAAAGTAACTGAGATGGAGGTAGATCTATAAGATCATAAGATCAATAAGATCTATAATTATAATCAACTATCAATTCCCTATTTTAGAAGAATTGGTTAATTTTAAGATACCTAAAACTGAGAGAGAGAGAAACTGAGAGAAAGTGAAGCAGAGGGGTATTTGACACTAGAGGTCATACTTCAGACTTCTTTAAACATAAATCACTTCCTAAAGTGTGTACAGAGAATAAAAAATCTGGATTAACATTGCAGTTGACCTTCTGGAATCTCATAGTCAGAAAACCAGATGTGACTTCTACTTCAGCCTTTCAAATCATTTTATGCAGCTAGGACCATGGACTACCAATCTCTTAGGGTTTTTATGAACTTTATAATATGTTGTTGAATTTTGCTAGATTTAATGCCTATCACATGTAAACATTATCTTAACCTCAAAGATGAAGATATCAAGGCCTTCTAAAATGTTGAACTAATTACAGTAAGATTAGGAAAGAGTGAGGAAGATGAGGTTGAAAGATAGAAATGCTAGGGGAGCAATTGGAGAAGTCAGTGCCCTATACAGGAGTCTTTTGGGAAGCTTGATAAAAGGCATTGTGTCTCCCTCTCTTGAACAAGTCCTCATCCCCAAAATTCTCGAAGCAAAGCAGCCAAAAGATAAGCATATTTTTATTTGTTCTGTTTATAATGCAAAGTTGGTATCTCTGGAAACTGTATGGGATAATTTCATGGGAGGGTAGCTGGTTGGCTTTATTGAGGTTGCCCAACACTTTCTAGAACAGAGGTCCTTTACCTTGGCTGTACATTAGTATCACCTGTGGAGCTTTACAAAACCCTGATGCCATATTCTGCTCTTTGGAAGGTTGAATAAGAAGCTACGATGGTGGGATCTACATCAATGCTTTTAAAGCTTTCCAAGTTAATCCAATGTTAAGACTACACTGAGAACCATTGTCCTAGGGGGAGAGAGAGAGAGAGAGAGAGAGAGAGAGAGAGACAGACAGACAGAGAGAGAGAGAGAGAGAGAGAGAGAGAGAGAGAGAGATCGGAGGCAGGAGGACAGGGGGCTACTGTACTGCTGGGTGGCACAACGGGTCAATGTAGAAGAGGAAAGTCTTAATAATTGCTGAAATCCCATGCAATAAGAAAAGTAAGGGCTAGCATCATGATATGTTATACTGGAAAGAATAAGATTTCATATGCTTATGAGAAAAGTATTTTCCTTTCAGCTCAGTTACTACCAAGAGCAGCCCTATGGCAGCAGCAGTAGCTGTAGTTTCTCCCCCTGCCCTTGACACTTGTAAACATCCCTAGTGGCCAGATTTTGGTCTCTGATATTGTTCTATACAAACAAACAAACAAGAAAAGGAACCAGAAACCATCAGAGGATAGTGAATTCCATGTCCTTGGGCAGGACAAAATTAGAATATATCTATAACATTCTGTTGTTGCCAGGAAGCAAGAGTGATTTTTAAAATGGCAGGGACACTTCTAAAAGGAAAAAGAGTCAACTTAAAGGAGCTCTAGTTTATCAAGTCTTAATTATTTACAGTAATAAAAATCATTAAATGAAATAAATTGTTCTTGTAAAAGCCCATGATACTTATGAGAAAGGAGTTAATATAAAGAAAATTTATAACACATAATGGTAATATCAAAGAGGGTAAATATTACCATAAACATTTAAATTTATTTACTTAAATAAGTAGGAGAGTATTTCTATATAACTATAAATACAGATAGATATTTTGGGTGTTTTGTTAAGTATATTTTGGTTCATATAATATAGATATATATTATTATTTTATTTGCATAAACCACAAAGAATTAACATAATTTGTCAGCCAGATAGTCCTAGAAATAGTAGAAACTGTGCTGACAGATGCCATCAACATTTGTGGTCTTACATATGAGTGAAGTAAAAAAGGAGTACAGCACCAGTGGCACACATAATTTCCAATTAGAACGATGATATAACCATTTATTCCAAAATAGTGACTTGATTAACTTTCCTGAAAAATAAATCTATATTTTCAGATTCACTTTCCTGTTTCTCTGGGCATGACATCTTTTGATGGTTTAACTAATTATAATACAATGCCAATAAGAAAGGTGCATGTTTTTAAATAATGAAATCAGGTTAGGTTCATATATTATAAAACTATTAAAATGGATCATGTACTGACAGAGGTTAAAAACAAACAAATAAAACTTAAAAAAACACCTCATCCCTTAAATTTCTTACAAAATCAGAATATACATGAAAGATAGAAATAAAGATCCTGTGGTAGACAGAAAAATTACCCCCCAAAATATCCACATCCTAATTCCCAAAACCTATGAATATGTTACCTTACTTGGCAAAAAGAATTTTGCAGATATGATTAAATTAAGGATTTTGAGATGGAGAGATTATCCTGAGGTGGGCTCAATATAATCACAAGAGTCTTTGTAAGACAGAGGCAAGAGATCAGAAATAAGAAAAGAAGCTACAATGCTGGATTTGAAGATGGTGGAAGGGGCCACGAGCCCACGGATATAGGCAGTTTCAGGAAGATGTGAAAGACAAGGAATCTCCACTGGAATCTCCAGAAGGAACACAG